ACCCTTTTATGTAATGATGTTTACTTTGAATTTATATTAGTTCACACAAACACTCCATCCATGCTTTTGTTCCGGCCCTCCGGTCCAGTTTAAGAACCCATTTTGGCCCTCAAGTCAAAAAGTTTGCCCACCCCTGGGTTAGGAGCTTATGTCCTCCTGAGGGGAGACATGTGAAAAAGTGACCTAGAATATTGCTTAGGTGAAGAGTGTAGTTAAAGACCATGAAGGTAAGGTTAGTCTGCAGTAGAAGACAATTAGGGTTTGAGAGAGCCTTTGGGGGGTGTTTAGGAAGGTCTAAGCTGTAAAGCATTTATCCATCCACCCTGGCATCCATCCATCATTCCATCTATGCATCCATCCATCCATCCACCCAACCATGCATCCTTTCAATAAATATTCTTTAAGTGTATACTGTGTGCCAGGAACTATTCTAGGCTCTTGGCACTCAGTGGTGAATAAGACACAAGAATCTCTGCCTTATGGAGTTTATATTGTTGTGTGTGTGTGTGTGTGTGTGTGTGTGTTTGTGGGAGAGACAGGTAACAAGTCCATAAATAATAACATAAACAATCACTAGATGGAGACAAGTGCTGTGGAGAAACTACAGTGGAAAAAGGGCTGAATGTTGGGGTGAGTGGTGTTTGCAGTTTTAAACAGGAAGTCCTTACTGGTAAGGTACTGTGTGAGTAGAGAACAGTGTGTGTGTGTGTGTAGGGGGCGGTGGTCAGCTGTGCGTGTATCTGAGGGGTGTATTTTCTGGGGAGGAAGATATGGCAGGTGCAAAGGCCCTGAGGTGGGAGGAAACCTGCCTGCTGAGCCGAAGAACCACAGGAGGAATCGTGTACGGGCTGCCCTGACCCCTTCCTCGTCTCTTTCCAGATTGGCTGGTTCCCCTCTAACTATGTGGAGGAGGATTATTCTGAGTACTGCTAGCTCTGGCACACCGGCAGGAGGGCGAGAAGCTGCAGGCTGTGAGTCCAAGACGAGCAGGCTGCGTGGCCAGGGGCTGTGACAGGTCCCAGCGGGCGGAGAATCCGAGATGGACTACGAGGGCCTGCGTCCAGTTGACGGGGCTTCTGGGGCGATGCCCGGCCATGGTTAATTTATAACACACTGATTTCCCCTGGGGTCTCCTCGGGAAGGTGGGGCTCAAGGCAACCGCTTTGAATAAAATGATGAATGGAGGGACTGGTGTTGTTCAGGGGCCCTGCAAGGGGAAGAAGGGGAAGGGATGTTGGGGCACAGACAGACCCACCCACTGAACCCTGCCTTCCCGCCTTACCACCCTTCTCTGCCATTTAAAATAAGACCTGAAGGCCCCAGCCAGTTTGGCTCAGTGGCTAGAGCGTCGGCCTGCGGACCAAAGGGTCCCAGGTTCAATTCTGGTCAAGGGCACATGCCTGGGTTTCGGGCTCAGTCCAACGTGCAGGAGGCAGCCAATCAATGATTCCCTCTCATCATTGATGTTTCTATCTCTCTCTCCTTCTCTCTGAAATCAATAAAAATATATTTAAAAAAAAAAGACCTGAAGTAGGAAACGGACCCCCAGGTAGCAGAAAAGCATTTGACACTCACAGACTCTGGATCACAAAGCGTCACTCGCGTTTGCTTTTTCTGTAACGGAACTTGATTGCTAGTTGGAGCCCCTCTGATTCTGCCGGGAGGTCAACACTTTGTTTCAGTTGAGCCTGGGTCTCCTTAGTCAGTTCTCCCCAAGATCATGTTGACATCCCAGGGGCTGTGGCCCTGGGGTGTTGGGGAGACCACTGGGACCTGGTGCTGATCGTCTGTCACCCTGCCACCTGCTGCGGTGTCATTGCTTCTGCCTCACCTGTGGTTCCTCTGTGGCTTCCACCTCCCACTCAGGCTGTCTTTCCTTGAAGGTTGGGTGGAATGACTCTACCCCTGGGTTTCCCTGGGGTGGTCATTTGCAACCCTTTTCCTTCTCCAGAGCGTCCTGGTTGGGTGATACATTATATGGTCACTGTCTTCGGTTGGACTTTTCCAGAGGCAGCGCCCCGACAAGGACTGGGGGTTTTGTTTCACATACAGATGTCCAATTTTCCAGCACGATTTGTTGAAAAAGGCGATGCCTTTCTCTATAGAATCGCCTTTGTACCTTGGTTGAGAATCGATTTGCCATAGATGCGTGGGTCTATTTCTGGACTGTCTATTCTCTTTCATCGATCTGTGTCTCCTCTTTCACCATTACCACTCTGTCTCGATTCCTGTGGCTTTATAGCAGGTCTTGGACTCAGATAATAAAAGCCTGCGATCTCTCGGTTGGAGAATTTTTTGCCATCTGGAGTAGCTGGCAGTGAGACACAGTTTAGTTGGTGAGCCCAGCAGGTCCTGGCTCCTTGATATTTCATCGTTTGTTCATAAATCCTCTCCGTTTGCATTTTATCAGAGGCAGCAAGAAGAAGCCAGTGGACACTCTCAGTATTCTGCTGTATCACTGAGCTCGTTACATTCATTTCTTCTTCTCCGGGTTACTGCAGGTGACAGACTTTCTGCCGGCATGTAACATGGTGCCCCTTCCTTCCCGTTCCCAGCAGCGTTTTTCTGAAGGCCTCACTGGCCTCCTTCTCGGAGCTCCATTGGCTTTTAGTGACCCCAAGGCCCCGGGAAGGTCTCAGATGTGTGGTTGGAGCTAAGTCTCCTGTGCGGTTGTAGTCACATGGAGCTGGAGTGGGGCAGGGGTGGGGGGGCAGCTGGGTGCTGACCTGGTCTCTCTCTCTCTCTCTCTCTCTCTCTCTCTCTCTCTCATCATGGAGTCCAGGCTCCTCCATGAGCCTCTGCACAGGCTCGTTGGGGGTTGCTCACAGCGTGTTGGTAACAGGGAGGCCAGGCTGCATGTATGGAAGCTGAAGGAAAGCTTTCAGGTGTGTTCCAGCTCACAAGGAAGAAGCTGCACCACCTTTTTTTTTTTTTAATTAATCTTCACCCGAGAATATGTTTTCCATTGATTTTCAGAGTGTGGAAGGGAGGGAGGGAGTGGGGTAATTATTTAATGCATTTCCTCATTTCCTCCTTCTTGAGACTTCCTCAAAGTCAGTGGGATGCTGGAGGTAGCTCACAGTGGTTATGAAAGCTGTAAAATGTTCAGGAGTTCTGCATGCTGGTTGTTAAACACAGCAATGATTACATTATATAATCTCATACTTGAATAGGTTAAATTACAAACAGGTAATAAATGCATAATGCTCATCACTTCCTAATTATTTTATACATTTTGCTGTTATTTATGTTCTGTGGTTAGTCTATTGTATCTGCATGGCGGAACTACTATAGAATGCTGTGACGCTGCAGCTCTTCCCAACTCCGCGTTCAGCAGCATTAGGCCAGATAGTTCTTCCTTGGCTTTTCCCTCATGACCACAAGATGGCTGTTGCAGCTCCTCAGGTTATTAACCACATCTGTGTGCCGGGCAGGAGGAAGGGAACGCAGTCTTTCCCAGAAATCTCCAGCAGGTTAGGAACTCTCACTTCCCTAGAGCAATCACTTTAACTCTCTTAACGGTCTCTTTCCCCTATGTATTATCTCTATTTTATTAAATAAAATATTTATTTAGGCCCTGGCTGGTTTGGCTCAGTGGATAGAGCGTAAGCCTATGGACCAAAGGGTCCCAGGTTCGATTCAGGTCAAGGACCCTGGTCAGGGCTCATCCTCCCCGGCCCAGGCCCTGGTCAGGGCTCATGCAGGAGGCAACCAATCAATGTGTTTCTCTCACATCAATGTTTCCCTCTGTCTTTCCCTCTCTCTTCTACTCTCTCTGAAAAAGCAATGGAGAATATCCTCGGGTGAGGATTAACAAATATATAAATTATTTAGTTATTTCTATTACCCCCCCCCCTCCATTCATATATCTATTGTCTCTCAAGTAAGGAAGGTAAAGATTTATCTTTCTCTAGTGCTACCCTCACCTGCTCCACATGCTACACATATACAAACTTCCTTATTTCATATTCTAAGTATAGTTTTGGTACTACTTAATTTTTGAAATAGATTTTAACTTTACATTTAATATTTTAGCCCTGACCGGTTTGGCTCAGTGGATAGAGCGTCGGCCTGCAGACTCAAGGGTCCCAGGTTCAATTCCAGTCAAGGGCATGTACCTTGGTTTCGGGCACATCCCCAGTAGGGGGTGTGCAGGAGGCAGCTGATCGATGTTTCTCTCTCATCAATGTTTCTAACTCTCTATCCCTCTCTCCTCCTCTCTGTAAAAAATCAATAAAATATATTTAAAAAATATTTTAAAAACACCGAACCAACTAAATTACCTTTATCAGGTGATCAAGGTCAATATTAACTGTGATAAATCATGTTGATAGCATGTACCTTGGATGCATTTGATGCAAATGGCACTTTACCTCTGTGGTCTTCCTCCCAAGCACCTATAACCCAATCTAACAATGAGGGAAACGTCAAGCCCCAACTGAGGGGCATTCTACAAAATACTTGACCTACAAGACTGTTGAAGTCATCAAAAACAAGGATAGTTTGAGAAATTGTCATACCCCAGAGGAGCCTAAGGAAACAGAACAATCAAATGTAACGGGAATTTCCCAGAACAGAAGACGACATTGGGTAAAACTGAGGAAAGCTAAATAAACTATAGACTTTACTTAATGATCATGTATCAAGATTGGTCTGTTCATTGTAACAAATTTGCCATATTAAGGTAAGATGTTAGTGATAGGAGAATCTGGGTATTGGTACATGGGAACTCTCTAAACTATATGATCAATTTTACTGTCAATCTAAGACTTTTCTAAAAAGAAGTCTATTAAAATATTGAATTATTATTCAATGTTTATATTATGATGATTATTTATATTGTTCACAAAGTAGACCTTGTGTACTGAGACTACAACATTTTAAAAAATATATTTTTATTGATTTCAAAGAGGAAGGGAGAGAGAAACACCATTGAAAGAGAGAATCATTGATCGGCTGCCTCCTGCACACCCCCTACTGGGGATCAAGCCTGCACCTGGGCAGGTCCCCTGACCAGGAATCAAACCGTGACCTCCTGGTTCATAGGTCGATGCTCAACCACTGAGCCATGCTGGCCGGGCAAGCCTACAACATTTTGTTTTACCCAGTTAGCAGTTGCCTGTCTTCTGTTCACATAAATCTCTCAATGTACTCAAACACTTGGAGTAATTCACCAGCTGAATTTGTTTTTCAACTTCAAGCACCACTCCTTGTCCTCTTCCGTCCCCCTCAGTCAGTGCCCTGACCACTCCTGCTACACGGGAGTGTGAGAAGGCTTTTTTAGCTGGGCACCTTGCTTCCCTGACGAAATTAGTAAGGGTGGCTTCAGAAACAGCTTAGTCAGTAAAATAAAATAAATAGGTTTAGAGAAAAATATCAAACAATAATACGGCTGGAACTAAGTTTGAGAAACTTCTACTCCCTTTGCTCCATTCTCTTCTTATTTTTAGTGCTCAGAATTATACTTTTTGTTGTGACTCTTCCCTTCTGGCCATGGGACCTATGACCTGTGAGTGTTGGAGTGGTAAAACTTGGCAGTGGCTTCAGAAACAGCTTAGTCAGTAAAATAAAATAAAAAATGGGTTTAGAGAAAAATATCAAACAATAATATGGCTGGAAATAAGTTTGAGAAACTTCTACGCCCTTTGCTCCATTCTCCTCTTATTTTTATTGCTCGGAATTATACTTTTTGTTTTGACTCTCCCTTTCTGGCCATGGGACCTATGACCTGTGAGTGCTGGAGTGGTAAAACTCGGCAGCCCCAATCCATCTCCCAGCCCCAAACACCTGACAGTGTCTGTCCATCAACTTGACGTTATGAATCAAACACCTTGAAAGTCAAGCAGGAAGTGTGTCATTTGAGGAAGAGTATGACATACCCAGTCTCGCCTCACTACCCTCTTTCCTGGCTCAGCCTATGTGATTGGCATCCAGAGCCTACTAATAAAAGAGCCTGTGTACACCATTTTCCCATTGTTCTGGGTATCTCCCTAGTCTCGCCTCACTACCCTCTTTCCTGGCTCAGCCTATATGATTGGCATCCAGAGCCTACTAATAAAGAGCCTGTGTACACCATTTTCCCATTGTTCCAGGTATCTCCCAGTGTAAGAAACTATTCCCAAATGCAGTGGCTGAATACAGCAGCCATTATATTCTAACTAGAGGCTCAGTGCACAAAATTCATGCAT